TGCCCGGGAGATTGGAAGGTTGTTGCCCGGGCTTGCCTTAATGGGGGAGATTATTTGTTGTGGAAGGCCGAATTCGAGGAAAAGTGTAACAATCTAGCTATCTATAACAGAAGGACCCAAATCCCTGTCACATATGAGATGTTAGCTGGTACTAAAGCTTATTATGAAGTGGGTAACCAAATACATTTCCCTGAGATTGCCTATGTTCAAATCAATGAGGCTGTTTTGACTGCATGGAAAAAGTTACCGACCACTGGCACAAGGACAGAGGAATTATCTAAAATAAGACAGGGGCCCGATGAACGCTATCAAGATTTTGTTTCACGGCTATTACAAGCCGTAAGTAGAATTGTTGTAGACGGAGAGGCAGGAACTATTATAGTGAAGCAGCTAGCCTTTGAGAATGCCAATTCAGCATGCCAAGCGGCCATAAGGCCTTGGAAGTCCACGGGCACCCTTGAGGATTTTTTGCGGCTGTGTGCAGACATTGGTCCCAGTTATGTACAAGGGGTGACTTTAGCAGCAGCCCTTCGAGAAATTCCTCCGCAGCAGCTACATACACAACTTCTTAAAAAACAAAAGGGAAAGTTCCCAATGAATTCTAAAGCCCGCATGCCCTGCTTTCTATGCGGGGAACTTGGACACTTTCGTAATGAGTGCCCTAAGGGCTCAAGACAAGCCCCATCTTTCAACTTTCCCTCGGGGAACCCCCCTAATAAGCTACAGCCACCTTCTGTGTGTCCCAGATGTATGCGGGGACGGCACTGGGCCAATGAGTGTCGATCAAAAACTGACCGCCTTGGCCGCCCCCTGCAGCAGGGAAACTCCCAACGGGGCTTCCCGCAGCCCCACCAAACAATAGCGGCAATGCTCTCCCCCTCATCTCTGAGGTCAGAGCCAACACGGCAGACCTCCCTGGGATTGAATCCCTTCACCGAGGCACCCCAGCCAGTGCAGGATTAGATCTGGCCCCAAACAGCTCTGTTTATTTAGAAGCCGGCATGCCCCCTCAACCAATAAGTACAGGAATATGGGGACCTCTCCCCCCAAACACATGGGGCTTACTATTGAGTAGGTCTAGTTGGACCCTTAAAGGCTTAATAGTATATCCAGGAGTCATTGATGAAGATTACACTGGGGAAATTAAAATAATGGTTAGCTTACAACAAGGCACTATAACTCTGCAACCTAGTGTGCCCATTGCCCAATTGATACTACTTCCCCGTATGGACACAGATAATCCATCATTGAAAGCTAAGCGAGGATCTAAAGGCTTTGGGTCAACTGATGCTTATTGGTTACAAAAGATTACAAAAGATAAACCCCTATTAACTCTATCTATCAATGGTAAGATTTTCCAGGGACTTATAGATACGGGAGCTGATGTCTCTGTATTGGCTCAGAAACAATGGCCTTTCTCCTGGCCCTTGCAGGACGCCATCACCCCTATAAGGGGAGTAGGATTGGCCTCAGCACCCAAGATAAGTTCCAATCATCTTATTTGGAAATCTGATGATGGTCTGTCAGGAACTTTCCAACCTTTTGTTCTTGACATAGACCTCAATTTGTGGGGGCGAGATATACTCACAGAAATGGGGCTAATCTTGGAAACTGCCAACGTCCCACAGGTGTTCCAAAATCAGGTTGTTAAAAATATTATGTGTAACATGGGCTACGAACCAGGGAAAGGGCTTGGCAAGGGGCTTCAAGGTAACGTTGAGCCTCTTTGCTATGTCCCCAAATATGATAGAACGGGCCTGGGTTTTTCCCAGGGTCATTGATCCGACCTCATGCCCTACCGATAGAATGGACCACCACCCGGCCAGTTTGGGTAGATCAATGGCCCTTATCTGAGGAGAAACAGAAGGCCGCCCGAAAGCTCATAACTGAGCAACTTTCTCTTGGTCATTTGGAACCATCTTGTAGCCCATGGAACACACCCATTTTTGTAATAAAGAAAAAATCAGGTAAATGGCGTCTGCTACAAGATCTAAGAGCTGTAAATCTTGTAATGAAACCCATGGGGGCACTACAGCCCGGTCTTCCTGCCCCTTCCGCCATCCCTTTAAATTACCATTTGTTGGTGGCGGATTTAAAAGATTGCTTCTTTACCATTCCTCTAGCTGCAAACGACTGTGAGAAGTTTGCCTTCTCGGTACCCTCCACAAATTTACAAGCCCCCTATGAAAGATATCAATGGAAAGTCCTGCCTCAAGGCATGGCGAACAGCCCAACTCTTTGCCAAGAGTATGTGAGCAGGGCTCTTGCACCCTTACGGAAAGATTTCCCTCAAATTTACTGCATCCACTACATGGATGATATTCTTTTAGCTGCAGAAACCGAGCATATGTTGACTGCAGCCTTCCATCATCTCCTACAGTGTTTGGAACAATATAATCTGGTCCTCTCCCCTGACAAAATACAACGTACGGCCCCTTTTGAATATCTAGGGCATATAATAGAAAAACAAACTATTAAACCTCAGAAGGTTCAAATACGAACCCAGTCCCTAGTGACCTTGAATGATTTTCAAAAACTAATGGGAGATATAAATTGGATTAGACCCGCTTTAAATCTGACTACGGAGCAATTAACCCCCTTATTCGACATCTTGAAAGGTGATGCCGATCCATCTTCACCTCGTGCCTTGACACCTGCAGCCCAACAAGCCTTAGAACTAGTCAATTCTCAGATCTCCAATGCTCAGATAACTAAAATAGACCTCAATTTACCATTATACTTGATACTTTTACTGCCCGGACAATTGCCAATGGCCGTTATCTGGCAACCTCATGGCCCTTTGGAATGGCTACATCTTGCCCTTCATCAGCTTCATGTGATAAATTTGACATCCGACTTAATTGCCATGTTAGTATGTAAAGGCAGGACCCGAACAATCCAACTGTTCGGAAAAGAACCCAATTATATTATATTGCCTATGCTAACCAAAAATCAATATGAACATCTTTTGCAACATCATTTAGCATGGCAAACTGCCTTTGCATCCTATCCAGGCCAAATAAACTTCCACTTACCCTCAGATAAACTCCTGCACTTTCTGGCTAAAACTGCCATTTGTGCTCAAAGAATCATTGTCCCCCAGCCACTTCCTTCTGCCCTCACTGTTTTCGTAGATGCAGACAAAAGAGGAAATATTGCCATACATGCTGTCTCACCACAACATAAAAATACTCAACGCCTGCATTATAACACTTCCTCTGTGCAGAGAGCAGAACTCAAAGCAATTGCACTCGCTCTAGAGCGCTACACTCAACCCCTCAATTTATTTACCGATAGTCAATACGCCGCCAGAACAGTCCCGCAGCTACCTGAGGCCTACATACTGTCCAATGATGAGGAATTATTCCACCTGTTCAAGTCAATTCAGCTCCTCCTACTACAAAGGCAGCACCCTCTGTTTATAACACACATCAGAGCTCACTCTAACCTTCCTGGCCCCCTAGCGGAGGGCAATCACATAGCTGATGAAAATACACATATATTTTTTACAAACACCATTCAGGCAGCAAAAAGCAGCCATGCAAAATTCCATCAGAATGCACAGGCCTTACGGCGTCAATACGGCATCTCCCGGGAGGAATCCCGACAAATTGTACGAGAATGCCAGTCCTGTCCCCAATTTTTTAACCCCCCCTCATATGCCATTAACCCCAGAGGGCTCCTTCCTAACCACCTTTGGCAAATGGATGTAACCACTTACTTACCGTTTGGCCGCCTTAAATACATCCATGTCTCCATCGACACCTTCTCTAACTATATTTTTGCTACTGCACACTCCGGTGAAGCTTTTGTAGATGTCCAAAATCATCTCTTCGCAGCATTCGCAGTTCTGGGCATGCCGAAGGCTCTTAAGACCGACAATGGTTCAGCCTATACCTCTTCAGCATTCCAGACCTTTTGTGCAAATTTTCACATCACTCATACAACAGATATTCCTTATAATTCTCAAGGTCAGGCCATTGTCGAAAGAGCCCATTCCACCCTCAAAATGTATCTCAAAAAACTAAAAGAGGGGGAAATACTACAGGGGAAAATAAAATATTCACCTCACTTACACCTTTCATTAGTACTCTTTGTTTTAAATTTTTTGAATGTTGACTCGGTTGGCCGCACTGCCGCCGAACGTTTTTGGCAGCCTGAGCAGGCTCCCCTCCTCTATGCAAAGTGGCGTGACCCCGCCACTGCGGAGTGGAGGGGACCTGACCCGGTCCTACGCCAGGGCCGAGGATGTGCTTGTATCTTTCCCCAGGATGAGGAGACGCCACGCTGGCTCCCGCTCCGATGCGTCCGCATTGTCCGTGATGGTTTGCAGAATGAGGCGGCTCCAGATCCGCTCCGGGAGGACGAGGAGACGCCCCGCCTCAGATCAGAGGAAAATAATATGCGGAGGCATCAAAGCCCTGACTGCTCGAGCTGAGGCCACCGTGCGTGAGTCGGGCCAGCCAGTCACGGCTGTTGCCCTTTTCCTTGCCATGCTATCACTTTTAACCCTTGACTCTGCCCAGGCCTCTCCTTACTGGGCTTTTGTCCCGGATCCTCCTACCGCGAGGGCGGTCACCTGGAAGGATCCCTCACCTACGGTGTTTACTAACTTCACAGACATTTTTGATGGGCCTGAGATTTCCGGCCTCACTCATGCTGTGGCGCCTTTTAACTGGACCAGCCTGGCTTCTGCCCCCCCCATTTGTTTCCAGGCCATCGATGGCCCTGAGGCGCCCCATTATGGATGCGTGGTCACTTCACCAGTCTCCCGAAGAATCCGCTCTTGGTTTGGAACTGAGCCACCCGGAGGAGACACTTTGACACCTCATGTAATGGTGGAGAATTGGGACATCAACGAGGTTGTCCTTCAACATCGACGGCCCCTGCCTGTTGGCCGTTTCGGACCCGCTTCCAGATCCCTTGAGACCCCATACCTTGACTATCCCCTCTGCAAATCTGACCTAACATGGAAAACCTATGGACCCTCTTGGAAAACCTGCGTTCATCACAACCCAGAGATTGTGACTCCCCATGGCATACCTGACACTTATATAATTGACTGGTCAAAAGACGGGGATCTCCCTTTGCGCCGCTCCCCCCTGCCTTCAGAATATGGGCCATACGACCACAATAATTCTGCTCCCGGGGGACTGCTATCACTGGGGAGGATGAGACACCCGGACTTATGGAAAATTGTTGCGGCCATGAGAGATGTTAAAACTAATTCACCCCTTTTCCCTGGCTTCCCCACGGGCCCATTGACATTTCAAATTCAGGCATGTCTTTCCCCACCGTTTCTGTTTGTGGTGGGGGACGGGTCCATGGTGCCCGAGGTTAAGGCCAATAGAACCCTTTACAAAATAACTTGTGAGGAATGTTATCTCACCAACTGTTTGCCTTTACCCAGCGCCCCAAATCCAACAAAGAAGGTTTTCCTAGCCATGCAGCCCCCTTATCTAATGATGCCTGTAGAGGTGGGGGGGCCCTGGTATAGAGATTATGGCTACCAATTTGCACAAGAACTGGAAGGCCTACTTAGTCGGGGGCGACGCTTCCTGGGCCTCCTGATAGCCGGCATCACTGCCTTGGTGTCTTTGATAGCATCAGCTACTGTCTCCACGGTGGCACTGTCCCAGGGCATACATACTGCCGCTCATGTAAATAACTTGGCTCATAATGTCTCCCAGACCCTTGCTACACAAGGAAGTATAGATAGAAAAATTTTGGCTCGCCTAGATGGTTTAGAGCAGGCGGTCGAATATTTGGGCACCCAATATTCATTGTTACATACTCGTTTGTCCTTTGTGTGCCACGGAGGGTATGGTTCCATTTGTGTGACCCCCCTGAAAGCTGACAATGTCTCCTGGGAAACGGTGCAGAGGCACTTGCAAGGTATCTGGCATGAGACAAATGTAAGCCTAGATCTGTTTCAATTGCAAGAACAAATAAACAATATAGCCTCCTCCCATCTGCATGTAGTCACCCCCAGAGACATGGCACAATCCTTTCTACAGAAGCTACAGGGGTTTAACCCCTTTAATATCCTCCAACATTCCTTTTGGATTATGTGTGCTCTGGTTGTAGGGGTAACCTTATTACTCTGCTTATGGTGTGCTTGGAGTCGCTGTCTGTTTGCTTTCATGGCTAGTACCCAAGCAAATGTACACATGTTGCGTTTAAAGATAAAAGGGGGATATGTCGGGAGCCATGAGCAACAAAGGGGTTAATCGGGTAGAGCAAAGG